CCTGGAGTAGGGTGTGGGCATAGGTAGATGGGATTCACCTGGGCTAAGACTGGGCTTTTAAGGGCGGCGTCACGGGGACTCCAGCAGCAGCAGCAGAAGCCAAAAGAGCAGAAGTAGAAGCCAAGAAGCCGAGCAAAAGCCGAAAGAGAAGCCGAGAGAGAAGCAAAGAAGCAGAAGCAGAGATCACCAGAGAGACCAGATAGAGTGAAGATTTGCTGGGGGCTGGGAGGCCTGCCAGCCTCCCGGCCCCCCAGCACCCTTGCCTGCCATATGCCTGGTGAACCCCAATAAAAGACCTGCAAAAAACCACTGAGGACTCTGACTCCTCCTTTACCCGGTCTGCATGGGATCAGAAAACCTGCACTTTGGTCCGTTCCTGACCCTACACATTCCTAAAGTGAAAATCTGCACTAAAAAATTTCCCCCAATTGTTTTCCACCAGCAAAGAAAGTATATTGCAGACAAAACTTCATCTGAGGAGAGGAATCTGAACAGCATTCCAGATGGATGGAGATAGCTGGGTACATAAGCAAAAGCCAAAGCCCAGGCTAGATAGGATTCCTTCTTGCTGATCTTTGTAGAAGGATGACCTGAGGCGTCTCAAGTATTGGGGAGGCTAAAATCAGATTTGCAACACAGAAAACTCAGTTGGTAGGCCAGCAGAGAGCAGAGAGCCAGAGAGCCCTAGCTGTTCTAGGAATTTGATTCTGCTGGTTTGATTCTAGGAATTTAGTTTTACTTCTTGGGGATGGCCCTGGAACAGCATGAAAGTACCAGAAAGTTGTATCACACTTATCTATTCATTGGCACTGAGTTAAAGTTTAGATCTCCTTTTGGAGAAATGTTTTCTCAGAAATAGTGTAGATTATGAGAATTAATCAACAGTATTTCTGGCCTTTTGTGGTCTAGAACTGCACATGAATGACATAAAAATGAATATTACATAGGTGCTTAAGAGGACTACAGGCTGTAAAAAGGTGTTTTGGAAAGGAAGATTGTTCTTGAAAGGTTTTTCTCTGCACGGAGAAGGACTAGTGCCCTGAAAATGCACATTTGCCTTCATACCGATGAGGAGTAAGGGAAGGCAGGCTGCTGGGATGTTTAAAGAAGATAACTCTGTGTCAGAGACTTGATTGAGAGCCAAAGTAACATATTTTCATTATGTCAATTAATTAATTTGGCGAACTGATATGCAATAAATTAATGTGCTGAGCCTCACCCAAAACTAAGGACCGTGGCTGGCAGCTTTTGCATTTTCAGCAGGTAGGCATTTCTCTAGTCTAAATATTTATTAATTTAACAAATATCATCCCCTCCCCAGTTCACCATGTCAGGCACTGTTTCAAGCACTGGAAATTCAGCAGGACACAAAACAAAAAATTTTTTTCCTGTGTATTATGGGAGACACACTAATCAAGATTAAAAAGCATGCTGGTGAAAGGTACTAAAGAGAAAAGGGAGAAAGATGTTGTGTGCAGGGTGGTCTGAGGACGCCTACACACATTTGAAAAAAAAAAACTGGGGAGTCTCTTCATACTCTATATAGTGTATGTTCAAAAATCAACCTAAATCTGACTCAGAGCTGCAGCTTCACAGAGTAGGAAGCAACTACATTTCAGCCAGGTTTTGAGAGTCTCTCCTCTTCTGAGGGCCATAAGGGTCTGCCGGTGTTTATGTTTTGGTCTTTGTAGGGTAAATGATTGTCAGGCTTTTCTGCCCTCCTGCCATTAGGATTGATGATGGATCCTTGCGGCCCTGAATGCATGCCTGATGGTGGGCACCTGGAGTGGGATGTGGGCATGCGTAGGTGGGGTCACCTGGGCTGAGAGACTGGACTCAAAAGGGTGGCGTCACTGGATGCCAGAGCAGCAGAAACACCAGAAGAGAATGACAGCCCAGAAAGAGCGAAGACTTGTTGGGGGCTGGGAGGCCTGTCAGCCTCCCGGCCCCCCAGCACCCCTGCCTGCCGTGTACCTGGTAAACTCAATAAAAGCCTGAAAATCACCAAGGGCTACAGGATTCCTCCACCCATCTGCTCGAATCGTAGGGATCCTGAACTGTGCTCTTTCTTGTACTACTGTCTTCCAAGTAAGTTTCCAACCCCTTATCTTGCTCCAGCCTTCTTTGAGGTCTCACTGTCCAGCCCATCAGTCCTTGAGGTCCCAATGTGAGCACAAAATTCTTTTTATTATGACTGTGAAGCCATGACTTAATTTTGTCATCCATCAGGCAAGTGCTATCTCAGCACAGAGACTCTGCCCCTGGGGACAGAGTCTACTCTGGGAACTCCCAAACCCATCTTTAGTCTAGGGGCCCCTCAGGATGGGGCTACTTCTCTTTCTCAAAATTTAGCATGCACTTTTCTGACAGTCCCTCTGGAGGGGCAGGACAGGCCACTGAGCAGGTTTTCTATGATCCCATGCAGACCAGGTAAAGGAGGAGTCAGAGTCCTCAGTGGCTTTTGCGGGTCTTTTATTTAGATTTACCAGGTATATGGCAGGCAGGGGTGCTGGGGGGCCGGGAGGCTGGCAGTCCTCCCAGCCCCCAGCAAATCCTCACTCTATCTGGGCTCTCTCCAGCCTTCTCTCTGCTTCTCTTCTTCTCTCGGCTTCCACTCGTTCTTGGCTTCTGCTGGTGTCCCCGTGACGCCGCCCCTAAAGGCCCAGTCTTAGCCCAGGTGAATCCCATCTACCTATGCCCACACCCTATTCCAGGTGCCCGCCATCAGGCATGCATTCAGGACCGCAAGGATCCATCATCTATCCTGATGGCGGGAGGGCAGAAAAGCCTGATACTTTCACCTTACCCTACACCCTCTAACAGCCTAAGCTCTCAAACCCAATCTGCCAAAATTGGATTTGTCGGTTTCTTTTCCCTCTAGTTGTTTAATTATCTTTGTTTTTAACCTCTTTGGTTATAGTAGCAAGGGAAAGACCTTTCTAAGATGAAACTCAGGTGAGCCTCATTCCCTGGAGTCACCTAAAGTGATAAAGTAAACTTACTGTCTCAATAAATTACCTTATCATACATTTAAATAATATTATGGTCTTTATAAATTGTTAGTCAATACAATCAGAATTGTCTAAAAAATACTTTTCTTTCCCCTCTGTCTACTAACATTGTGATCGTTTGTGCTTAAAGTTAGGGGTAAAAGACATTCCTTTAAGAGTATTCTGTTTACTCAAACTATTTCCCTCCCTTACCAGTTGGAATAAATTCATAATACTGCAGTTTACCTAAAAGTCTAGAAAATGGGGTCTCCCTGGTGGTTCAGGGGTTAAAGACTAGAAAATGGGGTCTCCCTGGTGGTGCAGGGATTAAAGTCTCAGCACTATCAAGCTATCACCAGCCACTGCAGCATGAGTTCCAGTTCCATCTGGGCCAGGAGCTAACCCACTTGGCACAGCAGACCTCTCCTGTCTGGTGACTGCTCCCCTCAGCAGTGCTTTTCAGGAGATCCGCCTGTTCTGTTCCCCGCTCTGTCTTAAGTGAATCCTCTCACTCCCTGCACCTCTGGCCTACACCTCAGTTCTTGTATGCATAAATAAATACAAATAAGAAGACTAGTAAATGTAATGTATAGAGTTTTCGGGTGGGGTGGGAGTGGAGGTGAGGGGTAGGATAGAGGAGAGTTTAGGGCATTAAAACAGAAATGAATATCAAATGAAAGAAAAGGAGAAGTGGGAGAAGACTAGGGAAGAAGATGGAGTACTGAGAAACAGGGAGGAGAAGGGACAAAGAAGAAAGTTAAAGATGTCACTGGGCTGAAATCAAGGTGTTGCAAGTGCTATTTTTTTCTGGAGTCTCTCTAGGAGAATCCATTTCTTTGAGTTTTGCAGCTTTTAGAAGCTACCTGCAATATATGGTGATTTGTACCCTCCTTCTTCATCTTCAAATCATTCTTTGATTTGCAGTTGTCTCTCTCTGACAATTCTTCTGTAGCCCACCTCCCTCCCTCCCCATCCCCCAATAACCAGGAAAGTTTCTCATTTATAACTTCCCATGTGATTATATTGGGTCTACTTGAGAATCCAGGATAATTTCCCTATCCCAAGGTCCTTAACACTCACACCTACAAAATACCTTTTGCCATGAAAGGTAATATATTCATGGGTTCTTAGAAATAGGATGGCAGAGTCTGTTGACTCCCACATGATGCTTAAGTAGCCTCTTCTCATGAAGTGTTGATTCTGTTTCTTTGTAGCTAAGAAGAATTCTGTAGAATGTGTTCCCTCATAGATGTTCATGTCCTTGTATTTATCACACATCATTGTAACTGGAAACGACCCTTTTGTGGGGAACATTGGCTAGGACCCCTTCAGGAACTTAATCCCACTGTCTAATTCTTAGTCAAGCCCTGTTCTCATCTTAACCACTCTTTTACCAGCTCTGTGGACAGTTTGGGAGTGGAAGTAAAAAAAAATAAACTCGAGAAAGAAAAATGAGGTCTGGAGAGAAAATGAGGATGAGTTATGTGATTTGCTATACAAAAGTATGCCTGACCTTTTGCTTAAAGAAACCTCAGGAAGGAAATTATACATGGGTGAGGGTGGGGCTGTTCATCTATTGTTCCCTTCAAATGGAAAGTAGCATTTGTTTGTTGAGTACAGTTCTGAGTACTTGTTGGCATCTGGGGCTGTTAGTGCTGGGCACCTTCATGGGTCTTAATGGGTGAGAGAGTTTATATACCCAAGTAATCACATTACCTTGGCTATGTATCAACATATGCATATACATTGGCTATGTGTATCAACATGTACATATAAATTCATGTGAAACCATCTTACATTTGCTAAACACTCGACTTCATAATTCTTTCACCTCAGCTACTTTATCTGGTCTCACAGCAATGCAGAAAGAAGACAGAGTGAAAACAAAGAGATTAGCCATACTGTTGTCATCTCACCTGGTCACAAGGCTAGTTAGTGAGAGCTTAGTTTAGAAGCAGGTTTCATAACTTTCAAACCAGAGTGCTTCCTAGTGATTATGTTGATTAAAAAGAAATTCCAGTAACTCAACAGTTTTAATGTAGAGTTTTAATGATATCAGACCTGTCAGAGCAATAACACCAATTCTCGTTTACAAGGTATATTTAGCCTCAATTGACTATAATTTGGTGTTGGTGGGAATAAGTAACAAAGAAAAAGAAAATGGCATTTCATAGAATATTATATAAAAACATAACAAGATCTTGAAAATGCAATATTATATAAAGAACTAAGAAAAACCTAGGAAAAAACAAGCACTTGCTGTTGTACTATTTTAGAAATTGTACATGGTTTTGAACACATGGTGAATATAAGGATCAGACAAGTAAATGCAGAGACCACTGATTTAAATATTCAACATGCAATGTAATTAATCCCACAAAATGGGTAAGAGCTAGGTCTTTACATTTAAACCATAGAATTTAGAATTCTGCCCTTTACTTGTTTTCTTTCCTTTGTCTAATTTAGGTCAGTTGTATAAAATTTTTTTTAACTTAAAAATGATCAACACATTGTTGGGGGCTGGTTTGGGCACAGAATGATTTTCTTGACCATGTTTAACATTTAAATAGGCTAAAGTTTTGTTTTTGTTTTTAATTACAGCCTGAAGTACACACAGCACATGTTTCTTCCTGGTTTTACTTGTCAATTTTCAGTAATGCCATTTATAATCTTTCAAAAATATATTTTAAAATAATGTGATCTTCTTAACCTAATAATTTCTTCCTGCTTCCTGAAAAATTTTTGTAATCATACTGAATATTGACAGTTACAAATCTCCACATAATCACAATTCCTCAGAAATTCTCTTGTCTATTTTGTTGATGTTATTTGTGGTAGATGTGAATATTGCATTAGTTAAATAAATGAACAGTAGCTTCCATATGGGAATACTACTTCAGTCTGTAAGTTATGAGGTCCAGCTCACATAAAAGGCAAGTTCACAAAGCCTGTCCAGTGCCACTGTCTCTCCTCAGGCAAGGAGCAGGAATCAATTTTTTAGGTCTTTATTCATCAAAATGGAATATTTCATTAGGAGTTTTACTCAAAGAGTGAATCTGCATCCTAAGAAAATTATGTAGCAAACATCTTTCCCTAACCTAAAAATAAAATACAAATGTGGAAAATTTCACAGCAGTCCAGCCCCTTCCCACTCCCCCATGACCACGTGGTCACATGACTGAACAAAGAGGAGGTACTGTGGACTCTTAATGGATTCAATATTAAGAGTCTGTGCAATAACTTCGAGGTCCTTCTCTAATTAGCTGTGTTTTCTCATTTGCATTTGTAGGTTGGAGAAGAACTGGAAAATCCACATCTAAAAATAAACAAAGCAAAGCAATAAACATTCTCTTATCATGTTACATTTCCTTTAATAGAGTGAGTGGTAGATATTTTTCTTGACATAATGATTGGCAAACTAGTTGAATTCATAAAATACTAAGGATACTTACCCTTTATAAAACTGCAAGAAAGAGGAGACAATGTATTTACTCTTCATTTATGTTCTATCAGTTATAGAATTATAAAACCAAGCACAGAACACAGCTTTTGCCTTGAGGCAATTTCTAAAATTAGTGAATTTGAGCTTTAGTTTTCATTATCTGGTGGAGTTCACTACGTATGTCCTATAGACTGTCATGTTTATCTATCTGAAAAATACCCTGTAGAGGTGTGCATATATGGCCTTGGTTGGGAGAGAGGGCGAAACCCAGAGCTTGTTTATGTGAAGAGTCTAGCAGGGAGCGCTCCACATAAAGCTAGTACCTCAAATGGTTATGCACTCCTTATCACCATCCACCTAAATCTGCAAGGAAATTTGTTATTCTTCAGATTTGGTACTGAGGAGGGAGAAAAAAACTCTGCTAAAAAATGTCTAGTGGTAAGTCAATAAATACACAAGTTGCCAGACCAAATTTATGCCTGTGTTCTAAGAAACCGGAAGCTTTTTGGTTTAATTTAAAATAGTCCAGTGTAAGATGTGCTCCCAAACACTTTGCAGAAGCGGGTGGCCTCACCTTCAACCCAGGCCCCAAGGAATCACTAAGAAATTGCAAGAAACATGACTCATGGTAAAAATAATAGAGAGATATGGGGGCGGAGGGATGAGAGAGAGAGAGAGAGAGAAGGAAGGGAAAGATTACACATAAAAAGAATGTACACTCAGTGCTAATAGAAACAGCAGAAGCCTAAATCACACTCAGAAAGACTTCAAACCTACACTTACCGGACAGAATAAAAATGAATTAGATTTGTTTTTTTAATGATCAAATGGATTTTGAAATTAAAGAATTCATGGAGATTTGTACAATTATGTATTAGCTCTGAACATTCTACAAAATCTAATAGAAAGAAATCCAGTAATATACAAATTCTTGAAGAAAAGTTTAAAAAGAAATATTTCTACATTTATTTCATGGGGTATAATCTTCACTTAGTAAAGAAAGTTTGGGAAAGGGAAATTATAGGCCAATCCAACTTATTAACATAGATATTAATGTCTAACTCAAAATATTAGAAAATCTATTTCTTAAAAAAATAAAAGTTAAAGTGCCTCCCTGGTGTTGCAGTGGGTTAAGTCTCAGCACTATGAAGATATCGACAAACACACCACTGCACTGCAGCACATTCTATCCCTGGCCAGGGAGCTAACTCACAAGGCACAGCAGACCTCTCCTGTCTGGGTCACTGCTCCCCTCAGCAGTGTATTTCAGTCAGTCTGCCTGTTCTGCTCCCCACTCTCTCTCTGGTGAATCCTCTTAACCCCCCCCACTGCACCTCTGGCCTATAACCCAGCTCTTGTATTCATAAACACAATAAATCTTTAAAAAATTTTTATTTAAAAATTAAAGTCAATACATCATGTCTGCCCTAACTACATCTTATTAATAAGATGACTTTAACATTGGAAAACTAATTCACATAATTCATTTCATTAGCAGATTAAAGAACAAGGATCACAAACATCTCAACTGATGAAGAAAAAGGTATGTGATAAAATTTCACACCCATGATAAAGTTCTAACAAAATAGAAATAGAAGATGGTTTTCTTAACCTTATCAAAACCCATAGCCAACTTCATAATTATGAGGCAATCTTGAAAGCAGCCTTTCTTCAACATTTTATTGGTAGTCTCAGGAAACACAGAAAGGCAAGAAAAAAAAATTTGAAAAGGAATGGGAGGGAAGAATTGAAACTGTCATGATTTAGAAATGATATAAACATTTATATAGAAACCCTAAATAATTTGTAGGCCGAAAATTAGAAATAATTTAGTTGGTTTCTTGAATTCAAAAGCAGTATTAAAAAAGGTATAAATCTATATGCCAAAAACCAAGCAGAAATATATATATATTTACAATTTAGAATTGTGTTAAAGTAGATTAAGCATCCAGCAGTAAGTGTAACCAAGAATATATGATATACCTTTAGTGAAAACTAATAAAGAAGATTAAATCAAAGGAGAGACATAGCATATCATATATTAGAAGACACATTCTTAAACATGTTAGTTCTATTTAATTGATTTACAGAGTTGCTATAATTCTGAAATTCCAAAGGTTTTGTTTAAGGAAATTTTGTTAAAGAACTTGACAAAGCTAATTCTAAATTTATGTGGAAAAGCAAATGACCAAGGATATGAGAGACTGTCCTGAAGAATACTTAGGAAGATTTGCCTAAACAATTTTAGGAATTATTAAAAATGGGTCTGGTATTGCATACAAATAGGCAAAATGACCAGTGGGCCAGAACAGAAAGCCCAGAAACTGCTCCATTTATTTATTGAAACTTTATACCAAAACCAAGATGAGAAATGAGTGTGCTTGGACAATTTGTTTTCTATATGGAAAAAGAAAGAAATTGGAACCTTACATCATACCAAATACAAAAAATCAGTCCTACGTGGTTAAACATATACATGTGAAAAGCAAAACAATACAACTTTGAGAAGAACATATAGGAAACATCTTTATATTCTTGGGATAAGGAGAGATTTCTTAATTAAAATAAAAATCACTAAAGGCAAAGAGTGACTTTTTGGCTACATTAAAATTAACTTTGGGTTCTCAAAATAACACCATCATAGGGCCTCCCCTGGTGGTGCAGTGGTCGAGCGCTGGGCTGTGAAGCTACCCGCAGCCTCAGCAGCGCTGGTTCCATCCCTGGCTGCCAGCGAGGGTCCCACATGGCGCAACAGACCTCTCCTGCCACCCGCTGCTCCCCTCGGCAGTGTACTTTGTCAGTCTGCCTGTTCTGCTCTCCACTCTGGCTCTGGTGAATTCTCTCACCCTCCCACACTTCTGACTGTACCCAGTGCTTGTATAAATAAATAAATAAATCTTTTAAAAAAAAGGATCATAAAGAGTGAAACACGAAATCAAACTGGGAGAATAGATCTTAAGCAAACACAGTCAACAAAGATTGAATACCAAGTACTTAAAAATTATTAAGAAAAAGGCAGCTGATATATTAAAAAAAAAAATTGCAAAAGATCTTGGGCATTTTATAGGAGAGTCCTGATTGACCAGTTAGCCTAAGAAGAGATGCTTTATTGGTAATCAAGGAGATGAAAACTAGAACCACAATAGTAAATCATTTCCCACGCACATGGGTGTACATTTAAGTCCGGTGATATCAAATGTTGGGCAAGGACTTGGAGCAATAACTATTAGTGAGATTGGAAATTGAGCCACTATTTTGCAGAACAACTTGGTTATCTAATAAGTTGTAGACATATTAAATAAAAGTTGTAGACATATTGAATAAAAGTATTCCATTCCTGTGCATACACCTAGAAAACTTGAGCACTCACGCACCAGGAGACATGTACAAAACACTTACAACAGTATTGATAGTAATGGCAAAAAAAAAAAAAAGGGAAACTATCCAGATATCCCTCAGATATAGAAAGAATGAATAAATTATGAGATGTCCCCACAGAGGAATACAATGGAATACAATGATGAAAATGAATGACAGTCTTAAAGTGAGTAAATCTTAGAAATATGATGTAGAATAAAAACTTGGAGTATAGTTGCTGAATACAAACCCATTTTATGACATTCAAAATATGCAAAACCAAGTAATATTTGAATGATTATTATATGTGATATATTTGAAAATTGTCAAGAGAGATCATCTTTATAAGGAAAAAACACTGATTTCTTTTACTTAGATGACAGATGCTAATCATTTCACAAAATATTTAAGTCAACTCATTATACTGTAAAACATCAACTTACATAGTGCTGTATGTCAATTAAATGTCTCTATAAAACTCAGTGAAAAAAGTGATTACAAATGATTTCAGAGAGCAGTTACTGCTGATGAGGGGAACTTAAAAGGTCATGGCAGTTTTTTTTTTGAAAGGTAGAAAATCTGGTGATATTGTCTGCATTTATTTAACATTTAATAAAAATAACAGATCAAGGAGTTAATCTTTATCTTCCTGATTACTCATAATGAGGCAGTAATTAATAGAACTGGGGTTCGAAATGAGACTGTCTGACTCCAATGCCCTCTGTCTTAGCCCTGGCTTAGTACTACTGCTCTTAAGGTAGCTGGCATAAAAGACCAAGGAGGGCCTCCTGGTGGCACATGCGGTTGAGCACCACACTGTGAAGCTGTCCGCAGCCTCTGCAGAGCCGGTTCAATCATGGCTGGCGAGGGTCCCACATGGTGTGGCAGACCTCTCCTGTCTCGCCCCCAGCTCCCCTCAGCAGTGTATTTCAGTCAGTCTGCCTGTTCTGTTCCCCACTCTGTCTCTGGTGAATCCTCTCACCCTCCCACGCATCTGGCCTGTATCCCGGTTTTTGTATAAAAATAAATAAATCTTCTAAAAAATAAAAGACCAACAATCAACTGTATCATCTCCTGATACTTGTGCATATTGATGCCTTAACTTAGGTCTGTGGTATCCTCTACTCCCTACTATAAGTGAATTTTCAGAGGACAAAGAACCCTCTCCTTTTCTGAATGAAGTGTGTTTAGCATCTTTCTGTAGTCAAATTTCTGCCTACCTGTCTCCTCCACCACACCTCCCCACACAATTTACATATATGTATAGATGTATATAATTGAGGCAAGAGTCACATAGTTTACCATTTTAAAGTGAACTGCCAATTTAGTAGTATTTAGTACATTCATAATGTTCTAAATGTGTGGTTTATCACCTCTATCTCATTGCCAGAAGCACAGTGTCCAGCTGCTCCCTCTCCCTCCCTCCCCGCCAGGCTATAGCAATCACCATTTTGCTTTCTGCTTCTGTGGATTTACCTAGTTTAGAATCATACAATATTTTGCCTTGTGTTTGGCTT